TGGTTAATGAGATATTCATTAAATAATAGTTAAACATCTGTTATGCATGGCTTCAATAGGCTGTGGTAGGAGTTCTAATATCAAAAATAAACTGTCTTAGATCTTGAAAACATTTTAATTTGTATCTGAATAGGCGGACATTGATTTCTCAGAGTAGATTTCTAGTAATTGATGAGCATGTAGACGAACATACAAGACATATCAGCATAAAAAAGAGAGTACTGATGACATTCACTTATCAAACAGCTGGTCAGTGCATACATGTAAAGTTATTCTACTCAAAACAGACATTATTTACATGGAATAATAGTGAAAAATGAGGGTCAATGAGACAAGTATTGTTACAAAAAACAATATTAGCCCTTTTACATAGTTTTAGAAGAAAAGCCAACATAGGTTGAAAAGCATGAAATAAGGATACATCAAAAAATCTTTTCCAACAATGAGACTATAAAAACACTTATCAAAGTATCAAATGTTAGAACAAGTGTATATCATATATTGAGAGAGTAAAAGATACGACAAAATAGAGAATAAAGACCAGTACCTGATTCTAATCAGTGGTACAGATAGGATTTAAAACTCGAAGAAATTCAACCACCTTGAACGTGCCACGAATTTTCAAAAAGTTTATGTCACAAAGAGCTACCTTGAAGACTCATGTCGTCAATACTGACCTATCTTGATGGTGCGGGTGTGCCTATGACCTTATTCTATACATCTCGTACGCCCACACCCACACCCACACGGATTAGAAAATGAATAGATTTTGTCTGAGAAACTCAATTTTGATGAAATGCAACGACCAGTTATTGTACCACTTTCTATCTAAGGTAGTTAGAGGTTCAACTGACAAAAATCAAGGTATCAACTTTCCAACTTATATACTTTCATCATTTCATAGTGTCACATTTCGTATTAATTGTATATTAATTATTATCGGATTCAACTCTAGTAAATGTCGAATAAAGTTTGTCATTCTGGTATTCTTCCCATATATTATGTCCTTTATCTATAAAATATCCGTTACGATGATGATAACGATAAGGTGCATCCCAATAACCATTCCCGTTAGCAGCAATGAGAAACTTTTTATTTGGTTTGTCAGCATAACACCAATGAACACTGTTATTATTTTTATTAAAATAAGCAAATATTTTTCTGGATGAATCAAAAATTTTAACGACATCTGAAATTTGTTTTGCAGAGCTTGATTCAACTTGCAATCTATCTATACATTTTAATTGAATTATTTTTCCATCATACATAATATTCTTAACAAGATATCCACTATATGGATAAAATAGAACTTCTTGTTCTTCTGGATAGTCAGAATATTTCGAAATATCAGTGCGATACGTCGAATCATCTGCTGATGCATCGATTTCAAATATATAATTACCGAAGCCATGCGCAACGTCTCTATTTCGTGATGTACTTGTAAATGTTGGCCATAAAAATTGTAAACCTACTTTATATTCTTGGTTGACATGTTCACTTGCTATAGTTAAACCACGATAAACTTCAATAGGTTCTTTTTCATTATTATTTCGAATTGCCATTCGTAAACTATTGATAAATTGTACATTGTTTTTCAATATTTCATAATCATCACTCAGAAGAGCTGTATTAATCACACGATAATATTGTCCATCTTCTTTCGTCCATTTTGAAAAAGTTTCATTTTCTGGATCACATTTAATATTCGTTTCGATTATTTCACGGTAACATGGACGGCGAACCGTGGGTAAAAGAAAACGTGACGTTCCACATGAAAATTTTTCGACAGTACGACTTGATGTTGCCATATTCGAATAGTGTGGATGTGTTATATAAGTCAAGAAGTGAGGTCAATGTAATTTTATGCGTTACAACTAAAACGTGCATCAATTGAATAGGTGTTTATTATACGCCTGAGATTCGTACAGATCCCATATTGAGTGTGTATGAGTGCTTATTTGAGGCTCTAGGAAAATTTTCGTTTACTTCTGCTGAAGCTCAGAAAATTTTGTAATCGAGACTTTCTCACAGCAAGAAAAAAACTGTTCAAGAGATCTTGTCAAGCACGACTTTCTTGCGAAACTCCTCAGGCACAGGTGTATGAGGAGAAGACTCTTATTTTTACTCATCCATACACAAATTATGGAAGCGTTGAGTGGGTGCGTGTGAGTGGGTGTGGATGTGTGGATGTGTGTGGGGTGGGTGTGGGTGTGGGTGTGAAACTGATGCTAACACCCACACCCACCCTGTTGGAAACTAGCTTTCAATCATAAATAGATCTTGATGAAATATGAAAAAGCTGAAACGGATTCATTTTCTGGAAATCTTTGCTGTCAATGTATTGAAGTTTCCCAGCAATTCTTTCTATGTAATGCAAGATTTCCAGTAAAATTGCTCTGTCAAGTATTGATCTCAAAGTTTGTCGTCGTCAAGGTCTCAATCATGCTAGATTGTCGACAAAATTATAGAATTCTTAAAATAGGAGCACTGCTTGACAAACATTGTATACAACATGAATATTGTGAAGCATCGATAGGGTGTGGGCGTGAGTGTTAGGCATAGATGTGGGGTGTAGGTATGAGTGTATTGTTCATTCGATGTACCCACACCCTTTTACAGAAGTGCAACGTTCTAATGACTCTTTTGTATATGTCAAAAAATAATTCTTGTTCAATTGGTTTTGCAGTAGCCGCAAAAAGTCCCGCCTCCCCAAGAAAACTATCTAAACCTCAATCGTTTAGGCTCATATTTTTACTGCAAATAGAACTCGGTGAACCCTGATCGTAAGGATCAACAAGAGCTAG